GGCGACGGCGGCTCAAGCTTTGCTCGCGTTGTGCTCACGGATCCTGGCGGCTTTGTACGGGCGCTGACTGCCGCTGCCTGCCAGGAAGGCTTCACTCAGTGCTGGACGGCCATGTCTCTGCTGTGTGCACTCGGCTCTGAGACATCAGCGGACCAGCTGCGCCTGCTGGCGGCACGCAACCCACATTTGGTGGCAGATGCCGCAAAGGTGTTGTGCCATCTGCTCGGCGCCGCCGTGGCCGCCGACTTCAGAGCTGCTCAGCTCTGCTGTCCAGTTTACGGATCTTGTCCTCATATCCTGCACACATTTGAAGTGATTGCCATCCCTGAGTCCGATGACGCGGGCGCCACACTTGCGAGCGCCGCTTGGGTGCCCGAGGTGGTGGCCGCGCTGCACGCGGCGGTCGCTGAGCCCCCGACTGCGGCCAGCTGCGCGGACACGGCGCCGGCACAGCAGCGTGGGGAGGAGGCCGGCGGCCGTGCCGAATGCCTGGCGAGGAAAGAGATGCGCCGGGCAGCGGCCGAGCTGCTGCACAGGCTGCAGGCCGCGCGGGACATCGCAGCGAAGCAGCAGCAGCAGCACCAACAGCCGCAGCAAGAGCAGCAGCAGCAACAGCAGCAGCAACAACAGCAGCAGCAGCAACTGCAGCACCGGGAGGCGCGGCAGCAGCGGCCGTTGACGCAGCCACAGGCTGGTGTTCCCGCGGCGCCTCCAGCAGCAGGCGCGGCTGCTGCCTCGGAGCGGTGCGCGGAGTGCGGCACAGGGGGCCGGTTGCGGCTGTGCCGTGGCTGCCGAGCGGTGCGGTACTGCGGCGAGGAGTGCGCCAGGCGGGCGTGGAAGGGCGGACACAGGGCGGAGTGCCTGGCGGCGCAGGCAGCAGGGCAGCAGGCGGGGCAGCAGCCGTCGGGTCAGCAGCTGCAGCCGCAGTGATGATCCCCTGGCAGGGGTCTGTTGAACGCGGTGTTGCATCGTGTAATTTGCTTTGCACCCTTACTGCTGCAGTGTAGTGCATCTCATGCCGCATGCAAGCAAGCTGCACATTGACAAACAGTGCACCCCTTGCAAAGTGCAAAACTCATAAATTGTAAACAGGTCCCCAGTCAAGCTGTAGCCTGATTGTTCAGGGACTTGTTCACTGCAATGTTTTCCGACGGAGCTAAGAGGACGAGGGCGGTACATGCAGCCGTAGGGCATGCACTCGGGGTGCATCAATGCAGCAGGTGCAAAGGACCACCCCCTCCAAGACTAGTGGTGCCTTTTGAGGATCGCGCAGTGGTGTTCAATACGTTGCTGTGCTGTGATTAGCCAGCATCGTGGCGTCGGTGGCAGTGATGCGCACCCCGATGACTGCGCTCCGCTGGCGTCCGGGGCGGCCGACCGGTGAGCTGAATCAGCAGGTGGTGGCCAGAACAGGTGCTGGTGCACGGATGAGCTTTGCAGTGCCGCGCAAGGTTCCTTGCTTGATTTTGCTACGTATGCTTTTTCTGCCACCGACAACATTGTGTCGGGAAACAGCACCGTTGTCGGTGACACGATCTGACGACTGTGGTGGCAGAACGACGTTCATTAGCCGTTCCTACATGCGCAATATCACGTACGTGTACACGGCCATCAGTCGCACCAAAGCTGTAGCAGGCAGCTGGCACACAAGCCTTCCCTTGGGACCAACTGCCGCAAGCCGTGGGCAATGTCGGGCCCTGACGTTGCCGGCGCCATCCGTCAGTTGGTCTGGCCCCCACGTGTCCATCGGGGTGGCGGCGGCATGCGGACACCACCGCCCCGCGCAGATGCAGAGGCGGCGCTCGACCTTGCGCTGCTAGCTGCAAGCCCCGCGGCGCCCGCGCTGCCTGACGGCCTGCTGCAGCAGCTGAGGTCGGCGATAGACGACCCGGCGCGCCTGCGGACAGAGGCGGCGGCATACGCCATCGTCCAGATCATCATGCTTGTCCCCGAGGGCTCTGCCCTGATGCTGCAGGTGTGCGGGCGGGTTGTGCATGTGCGTATATGTCAAGATGCAGCGCCCAACCAATATGCAGCACATACCGCCCGAGCCCAAGACCTGGCCGCGCCATCCTGCCGAGCGCTGCCCCCTCCCGGCGCTCACTTCTTGTCATGCCAGGTGCGCAGCAGCCTCTTGCCCGGCCTTGCAACCGCGCTGGTGGACTGCGTGATCAAGCGCCGCCACGCGCCGGGCGGCGTCGCCGCGTTGGCCATCACGCAGCTGATCCACCTCACAGAATACGACCCTGCCGCAGCCATGGCCGAGGTGACAGCGCTGGGCGATTCGGCGGCCGCCCCCCTGCTGGCACTCGCTGCGGATGGCGACAGGGCCGCTTCTGTCGCAGCGTTGGGAGCCCTGGCCACCTTCATCCTTGCAGCGCCCGCCCTTGCGGCGCGCTACGCAGCTTGCCCGGCGGCGGTCGGCGCCGCCGCACGGTGGATCCTCGGCGCCGGCGTGGGACCGACGGATCCAGGGCGTGTCGCCCTTACGTTCCTTGCGGCAGCAGCCAGCCCCCAGGGCGGCTGCGCGGATGTCCTGGCCGCGCAGCCGCGGGTAGTCAAAGCCGCCGTTTGCGCCGTCGCCAGCGCGGAGGCTGGTGAGGGTTTTGATGCGACGCGGCTTTTCAGGGAGATGCTAGTTTGCAGGCCAGCTGACGTGACGCGCGAGCTGCTCCGCGTTCCAGGCGCGCTGGCTGCGCTTGTGCGGCAGGTCTCACCACCGGCGGATGCCGCCACGCGCTGGACTGCGGCCATGGCTTTGTGCACGGTTGTTGGTTTTGATGAAGCCGCTGCGCGGGCGGCGCTGCAGCTCGGAGCGCTGGGGCCACTCGTCGAGCTTTTCAACACACCGTTCAGCCCAGACCCCGGCATTGCAGAAGGCGCCATTGGTGGCCTTTCAAGTGACAAAACCGCCGATGCCGCGCTCACCATTGTTTTGCTGGGACTGCACACGCTCGTGACAGCCGCCGACGATGGCGACGCAAGCAAAGCTTGCGCTGTGCTGCCGGATCCTAGCGGCTTTGCACGGGCGCTGACTGCCGCTGCCAGCCAAAGAGGGTTGCCCGCATGCTTGGCAGCCATGTCTCTGCTGTGTGCCCTCAGCTCTGAGACATCAGACGGTCAGCTGCGCCTGCTGGCGGCACGCAACCCAGAATTGGTGACAGGTGCCGCGAAGGCGCTGTGCCGCCTGCTTGGGGCTGCCGTGGCCGACGACTTCGTAGCTGCTCAGCTCTGCTGTCCAGTTTACGGGTTTTGTCCTCATATCCTGCACACATTTGGAGTGATTGCCGTCCCTGAGTCCATTGACGCGGGCGCCCCGCTTGCGAGTGCCGCTTGGGTGCCCGAGGTGATGGCCGCGCTGCAGGCGGCGGTCGCTGAGACCCCGACTGCGGCCAGAAGCTCGGACGCGGCTTTTGAACAGCAGCAGGGGGACGAGGCCTTCGACTGTGCCAATTACCTAGCGAGAAAAGAGTTGCGCTGGGAGGCGGCCGAGCTGCTGTATAGGTTGCAGGCCGCGCGGGACATCGCTGCGGAGCAGCAGCAGCAGCAGCAGCGACAGCAGCAGCAGCAGCAGCAGCAACAGGGGCGGGAGCAGCAGCCGCACCAGCGGCCGCAGCAGCAGCAGCAGCAGCAGCAGCAGCAGCAACAACAGCAGCAGCAGCAACTGCAGCACTGGGAGGCGCGGCAGCAGCAGCAGCAGCACCCCTCGACGCAGCCACAGGCTGGCGCTCCCGCGGCGCCCCTAGCAGCAGGCGCGGCCACTGCCACGGAGCGGTGCGCGGAGTGCGGCGCAGGGGGCCGGCTGCGGCTGTGCCGCGGCTGCCGGGCTGTGCGGTACTGCGGCGAGGAGTGCGCCAGGCGGGCGTGGAAGGGGGGTCACAGGGCGGAGTGCCTAGCGGCGCAGGCGGCGGGGCAGCAGGCCGGGCAGCAGCCGCCGGGTCGGCAGCTGCAGCTGCACTCATGATCCGCTGGCAGGGGTCTTTTTGAATCTCACATGAATTTTGCTGCGCTTAAGTGCGGAAAAGCCCCCTTTGTGACAACGCCTGATTGTGCACAGATTGTTCCATGTCTACATCCCCACATTCGCTCTGATGGGACGAGGACGGTAGATGCAGTGATGCAGAGGGGGATGGCGCCCACTGGTGCCGGGTGAAGTGCGCTCCCCCTGCAAGCCCGTCCTCACACCACAGCTGGGGTGTCCGCGGTGATTACCTCATGGCACGTGCTAGTCATGCTTGAGTGGGTGTTTTGAAACGCACCTTCACACACGGACTGCGCCGTGGCGCCGCAGGGAGGCGTCGTGTTGCATGGGCGGTGGGCGTTGTCACTAGTAATGCCTGTACACAATCATGCACGCCGGGAAGCTTCCGCACAGCCCAGATCTACTGCTGCATCCACCCAAGCGGTGCACGCGGTGATTTGTAAACACACTTGCGGATGCACCACGGACGATGTTGATGAGTGGCGAGGAAGTGTGGGTGTGTATCTTTGGCCACAACACCCCAGCACATGGCTGAAGATAATGAGTCAAGGACAGCCGGCCATACCAGGCTCTGAAATCTCAACAAAGTAGAGCCAGTCTTGGCGCAGGGCCATGCATTAGTCAGGGGTGAGGGCGCCCAGGGGCGCCGCGGTCAGCTGTCAAGACGGCACATTCCAGTGGGGTGGGGGTCAGAGCTGCTGAGATGTGTCCAGGCCGCCTCGGGGCAGGGCGTTTGCGACGAGGGTGCAGGGGCCCAAGTAGATGGGGACGTGGCGAATGGCTGTCCGACGGATGTGATGAGGAGTGAGATGTGTGAAAAACCACGTACGTCGCTCGGGCTCGCGCCAGCCAGCGGCGGGATGAATACAGTAGCAGGACTTTCAAAGGCGGGCGCGTTCAGGCGTCCGGCGGCGAGGTGCGCCGCAAAGCCGGGCGGCCCGGCCGGCCGCTGCCGCCCCGCGTGCGCGCGCCAGCGCTTGCCGCGCCACGCCGCGCCACGCCGCGTCGAGCCGTTCGGCTACGGGTCCGTGTCTGGCCGCCTGTACTTCATGAGTGTGTGCTGCGGCGCCACGACCTTGCACATGACCTCCCAATCGGCCATGCAGAATGACATCACCTGGGCGTTGGTTTGGGGTCGTGGGTGGATTTATGTGATGACATGAATGGACTAGATAGAGGGTGGCGGAACGTGGGTGGGGAACAACGAGCGTGCCACACGCTGATGGGAGCAATTCAATGACAAGACCGGAAGAAGAACGGCCGGGCGCTCGCACAGCGGAGTGAGGTGGTTCGAGACGCTGCCAGGGCAAACACATGCTCTTGATTTTGTGCAGCAGGGGGCTAATGTGGCGCCGAACAGGGGCCTGCCTGCCGCCCTTGCAAATGAGCAGGGGTCGAGACGGCTGCGGCAGGGAAACGAGTGCCTGCAATCAGCATGTGCGCGTGCTTCACACACAAGCACACACAAGCGTACGCACGGGCCACGACCCCTTGTGGCCGGCCGTGCGGCCTCGCGGCTGCCAGCTGCCCCGCACCTGCTGCTGTTCTCCAACCGGCGGCCCGGCTTGGCGCTGCGGCAGAAAGCGCACTGTGGCGCCGTTTTGCGCATCACTGAGGTCGAGCGCTACACGCCTGTCGTGCACCAGGAAGCTCAGCGCGAAGATGTTCTCTGGGATGGTGCGATGACGTCATCGTGACGTCATCGTGTGTGGGAGGGGGCGGGGGAGGTTGAGGTCGGCTTAGGAAGCGCTTTTCGATGCGGAGGGAGGGCCGACATCCGACGGCGGTGCAGCATGGCGGGGCCACGCACCAGTAGCCTCGAAGCGCGGGTGGAGAACACCCCAGCGTCGCGGCGGAGGCGAAGGGCGCTCAGGCCTTTTCATACCCAGGCCAGCACGCCTCGCCCCTGGCGTGGGGCCCCCCTGGCGTGGGGCCCCCCTGGCGCCGGCGTGCCCCACAGCGACGCCCACCCCAGCGGCCCCTGCCCAGCCCTGGCGGCGCGCGGCCTCCACTCTGCCCTATCGCAGCAGCACGCCCCCCCAACCCGGGAGACCCGAACAATGAGGCCCCAGGGGCCACGCACCCAGCGTCTGGGCGAAGGACTGGTGGCAGCAGGTCAGCTCTCCAAAAGGCACCTGCTTGTGACCCCGCCTGTGCTGCTCCTGGGAGTGGGCAGGTGAGGGGAAAGGGTGTGGGGTGGGGTGGGGTGGGATGGGGGAGAATGGGCCCCAGGCCGTGGCCGGGCTGACCGGGTGGGAGGACGCGTGCGCGGCTGGTTCGAGCGCGGCGCCGCGATGTGCGTGTCGGGCGGCCGCCGCTGAGGAAAAGCAGGCGGGGGGGCGGCAGGCAAGAGCGGAGCCAGCCCGGCCGCGCGCCGTCCTGCCGCGTCGCTGGCGCCCGCGACCCTCGGGAGAGGGTCCGCTTCGGCCGCTCCCTCCATCGAGCACCCTCCGCGACTGATCTGGATACTAAGGTCTGAGATCCAAGATCTCCGATCTAAGGGCCGAGGATGTTCTCACCGCGAGCACGTTGAGCATGAGGTTGGCCACCCTGTCGGTCTGCTTCTGATCCTTCTCGGCAGCTTCCTCCTCCAGATCCACCTCGCGCGCCCCCACAAGCTCCCCCACCGCCGCCGGCGCGCGCCGCTGGTGCATTTTCCGCGCCTTCACCCCCACCCCCAGCGGCCCCACCATCGTGGAAACCCCCGGCGCCCGCCCGCCCGCCAGGAACCGCGCCGCGCGCGCGCCGACGGCGCCCCAGTCGAAAGCCCCAGGGACGGCGGCGTTGACGGCGCCGCTGCGGGCGGCGAGGGCACGGATGAGGTCTTTAGGGCCGCGGCCCCGGGAGCTGCTGCTGGCGTTGATGGCCATCTGGAGGCCTGCTCCTGCCAGCCGGCTGTCTAGCGTCAACACCGCCACCTTTGATTGGTGGGGAGGGAGGGGAGTGTGAAGATGGGAGGGGAGGGGTCGGCAGGAGCGGCGTTGCACGGCGTCTCGCGGCCGCCGCTTTTAGGCGGGGCGGCGGCGGAGGCGGCGGG